TCAAACAAGCAACACGTCAATTTATCTTTAGTTGACTATTCACTTTGACAATGATAATCTAGACAATAATTTATCGTTGAAAGTTGAAATATCCAATAATTTTTTTAACAAATAAATCATGAATTTTATTTATTTGTTTGTTCACTTTTTATTTTATTTATTAAAATTATTTTCGAATTTAATATAAAATAAAATATTAATTTGATCAATTATTTATTTTAAAGTTTAGATTTAAATAAAACTATATATATAGAATGATAACTTATCGTTTATTCAAAAATAGATTTATTTATTGTAATAAAACATTTTTCACCATTAATTTCAACATATTTTAGTTTTGTCTTAAAATTTGATTTAAGATTGATTAACGATGAATTTGTCAATAAATTTTATTATTTTCTCTCGATTGAAACAAGGTTCATATGAAATAAATTGCCTTTTATTATTTTATTCATTGTTTATACGTGGTTGATCATGTCTTCACATATATTTTTGTACAATTTATAAAGTTTTATTAGAAGTGCTTGAGATAGAGAAATCCAAATCTGTAATTGGGTTTTCAAAATTTTCAGTTTGATTGTTTTTATGAGAAAAATGTTCCTATACAAAAATAATGTCAAATTGGGTAGTGGCGAACGGAAAAAAAAACCAAATATATTCTCACGTATAGATCTGCACCAACTTGTAACATCGAAGAGATGAGTCAAAACTTGACGAAGAAGAATAAAATAGTAGAATATTTAATGTTTGTCTCGATGTTGATGATATTGCTGTTTGAATGTTAATAAATGATATTGTAGTCGTGTAGGAAAGGCATTTATCATTTATTATGAAACTTCAATGACTATCGTCAAGTTGTACGAATGAGTATATCTACTCATACCCACACATCATATACTTATAGATTTCATTTTTATTGTGTTAGTGATACAATAAAATTGGAGAACGGAATTCTGATTTGACCATTATGACGGGCGTATTATTTCGGATGTGATTTATGGAGAGGGAGAAATTATTGTTTTAAATCATCCGTGTGCATCTAGAGAAAGAAAGGTAATATAAGATATAACAAGTTATTATTATAGGTAGCTGTTTATTGAATATCACTCACTATAAATTTACCTATTAAATTATTGTCTAGATTATCATTGTCAAAGTGAATAGTCAACGAAAGATAAATTGACGTGTTGCTTGTTTGACTGTTATGTTAATTGTATTAAAGTGATGTGATGATTAAACTAATTTCGAAAAAGTATGAAATACTGATGAATCAGGTAAATCACTAAAACTAACTTGTAACGGATAATAAGGTTAAAAGTGGAAGTGATATATATCTGATTGGCCATAATTCTGTATTCTCTAACGTAACAATATTCTATGGAAACATTTTCTACTTTGTAAATCTACGTTTTATAACTGTAAGAAGGTAGATTATGGAAACTCCTGAATAGATAAATTAATTTATTTTTATAATTGAATTTACACTGATTTTAATTAATCGATATAATCTTTGAGAAATAATATCTACGAAGGAATGAATATTTATTTTCTCTCTATCTTTTGAAACAATTATTTAATATAAACCTGATTGATTTCAGAATAAAAATATAACATAATAAGTTGTATTTTTCATCTTATTTTTGTCAAATAATATAATAATAGATAATATCGATTCAATGACTTAATTAAAATCTATTATGTACTCAAAAAGTGATTACACTCTAGAATCGGTCAATATGTCCGTCCGGCCGTTTACACGATAACTTTCGAAAGAAGAGTCAGATCATGATGAAATTTTCTACACAGTTCAGTCTTAACAATGTCTCCGTTGAGAGAAGAAGATGAGAAGGATCCGTCACGAAATGGCTGAGTTATCGACTCAGTTTTTAACGCTGATTCCGAATCTGATATTATTCTTGAACCAAATAGTAGCATTCTAACAAAATATCGCCTGAAAAAAGTCTCAAAATGCAGAAAAACTGTATCCAGAAACGAAATTGCCTAGATGTGTCTCAGATGACCAGTAGTTTTGGAGTTTCCCAAATGCCTGATATTGTAGCTAGTCAAAAGGACTATCGAAAGGTAAAAATTCTAACTCAATAGCTATTAATATTGGTAATTTATTATGAAAATCCTGATGGCTGTATCTCTGATATATCTCTTATAGATTGATGAGATTGCTTACGATCGTAATCCTGCTGGATACAAACGCAAATCCATTCAAAACTAACTCTTCTTACCCAATTTTCCAAGCTAAACACGAATCTGAACTAAATTCCTGTAATTTCTAAAGATATAATATCACTGTGAGAGTAGAGTCAGTGGTCACCGTATATGGTCGCATACATTATGGTCCATGCTAACTTAGCACGTCTGTATTTTCTCCTTGCAATTTAGTGATAAAAAACACAGTGAATATACCTTTTCACTTTTTGAAGTACACACAACACTCGGATTTAAATCCGAGGTTTTCACATTTATTTTGACTAATACTGAAAAATAACTTTTCGTGACCTTCAGTATGATCTATTTGTATGAAAAACGAATGAAATAAAATAACCGAAAATATTTCAATGCTTACCTCCATCGTTCATCATTTTAATGATGGACAGACGTGCTTTTCGACAAAATTCTTGAAATTCAGCTTTACTACAAAATCTGAGGTATTATGTATATAAAAGCAACGAAATTCATTTACTTACATTTTTAAAATTGAGAATAAAGTAGACTTATTTGTTTGTTCGAACGTTTTTATGTCATCGATTACATCTATAAGAAAAAAAAAATTCTTAATTAGAATACTATAATTAAACTTACCTTGCCACTTTTTATTTTCATAGTTAATATAAATACGTTCACGAACATATTTTTCTATTTTATTAGCAGGTATTCGACGATCATCAATAGCACAAAATAATAGCTGAGGAAAAAAAAAGAAATTTACTTTACAATAACAAAATCAAGAATAATTCTTACTTCAAGTTTATCATCCTTGTTAATGTTTTTAAATTGTTCTCCTGATAACATTTTGTTTATGGAAATACGAAACAATATACTTTTCAATCGAGATAAATGTGTGAATATCAATTTGTAAAGATGTTTATGTTCGTGTTTGTTAATTTTTCTGTATATATTCATTGAACAATAACATTCACATCGCACTACATAGACGGACGAAAAAAAAGAAATAATAGTCATCATGATTATGACTAATCGACGAGCGTATAACAGCTAGCCTATTTTTACTTTTCTTATTAAATGTATAAGGATTAGTGAACCAGAGACGTGCACCGCGCCTGAAAAACGAGGTGCAGACGATGGAAAAGATGACGTAAGATATGAAATAGTGACGGCGGCAGTCACCGCACCAAAAGCCTTTTTGCAAGCAGACGGACTGCTCCGCACCTGTGTCAAGTGAGACGGCCGTTCGCTCGATTTCTATTGGGTGTGAACATTATAAACGTAGTTTGTCAAGATGAGGGTTCGCACATCATATCTGGTATGGTGAGCACAGGATAATAATCAAACCATACTATATTCAAGGATCGGTGTGGGTGCACGTGCGGGTGATGCTATCAAGGTAGATATTGACACCCACACCCACACCCACACCCAAAATGAACAATGAATTTATCTGGTAGTAATTATTGTAATCAGAGATGGGCAAGTCAAGTCAAAAATGACTTGAAAATTTTTTTGAATGAATTATGACTTGACTTGACTTGACTTGACTTGTGACTTGGCCGCATATAAAAGGTCAAGTCAAGTCTAAAACTGTATATATCTAAAGGAGTTTGATTGACTTCAATTTGAGTTTTCTAAATTGATATGTAGTGGAAAAATAGAAATGACAATCAGCAAATGTGTCGACATAGTGAATTCGCGTGAAATAAGATTATGACAGTTGAAATGCATAGAAAATCTTTTCCCTCAATTGTTATTGGACATTTCATTTGCCAAAACTCTGCTTAACGGAAATACGTTGCTTTCTTTGTTTTTATAATAATTAAATTAATAAATAATTTCTCAAACGAAAGTACAACCATAATATGAATCAAGCAAAACATGTTTTCGATAATTTGCCTCCAATTAAAGAAAACATGGTAAAAGTTGGGTTGAGCTCCAACTTGACTTGACTTGACTTGAATCAAAAAATCACTGACTTGCCCATCTCTGATTGTAATGACAATATTGGCACAAGAAAGACTGTAGAGACATGGCATTGGACCATCTATTATTGTAAAAAATAAGATTTTGCTACAATGAAAACTTATTAGTCATAGACTTCAAAAATTAT